ATTGCTCTGAAATGTGATGAATTTGATATTACTTGTCAATAATTCTAGCCCTTTTATTGTTTTCATGATGCATATTTGTTGGGTGCGATCGGTCCATCTGCACAGTCAATCAATTGTAGCACGAACTGTCAATCTTACTACATTGTCAATTCCTCAATCAGCCAGTAACCTTTTCCTCCTAATTCACAGTTGTGGGAAATTATTTTGGACAAGGGAAGTAAAGTCAGAGATTTACTCACAAGGAGACAAGACGATTGAGTGATAGTGCAGATTACGGTAGTTGGTCATGTCCAACGTCAATTATAAATGGTTAAACCTTTTAGTGTGTGACATTTTTAAGTCTGTTTTTGATTTCAAGAAAAGTTGAGCAAACTTTTCTGTCCTCAGATGTAATACCAGGGCTCTTCATGTCATGTTTAGATTGGATATAACATTGTCTCTGTTACCAGGATGTTGTGATAGTGAGTTCTGTGCGGACCCCCGTTGGCTCATTCAGGGGGGCTTTGGCTACGCTCCCAGCTCCCCGATTAGGCACTGTGGCTATTCAAGGGGCCATCCAAAAAGCAGGTGATCATAAAGGGGTTTATTTGAACTTGCCACTAAGTTTTGACTGTGAACCAGGGTTGTAGCTACGCTGGCCAGTGCCGGCCTGTGCTGGCCACCACTCAACTTTACCGGCCGGCACTGGGGATGAAAATGGAGCTTACCGGCCAGCACAAATTACGTGTACCTTTATACTTACATGTACATAACTGCAATTTTTAACATTGAGAAATAAAAATGGGCTGTTTTTATTTTTTAAAACTTGTCAAAAACAGCCGGCACTGAAAAATTCCTAGCTACAACCCTGCTATGCACCTAGATGGAATTCATATACGGATGCAGCTTGACACACTCGGCACGAACCCTAGACTGATCTGAAATCTTCCAAGTGTTTTCTAAGTGAATACATGAATATGTACGCCGCTAAATTTGACTTTTAGGACATGTTATTGCTTTCATATGGTTAATGGGATACTGCAGAGAAAACTTACAGGTGTTCGTGGTATGGAATTCTTTCCATAAACCTTACTATCCTGGGTCATTCCAAATCCACGTTGAAGTTTGGGAGGATTCTGTAGCACGGTGAGGAATTTGAGTGCCAACACTGTCACTTTGGTCAAGGGTTGATATTCCTTGAAAGCAGTGTACATGTAGCTCTGGAGGTTGCAGAGTGAAAGAATGCAATTAACTCAAAGAGTTTAACAGCAGAATTAGAGCACCAATAGAAGCAAATTGCCCATGGATTGCAACCAAACGGGATGGTAAAAACTGATGATAAATATGACATAGATATTCCCAAATCAACTGTAATTTTACCTGTGTCATCATAAACTTAAACAGGTCAAAAAGTGTTGTTTTGCAACAGGAAAATAAATCCTAGTTATACACCTGCTTACATGTGATTCTGAAAAGTCATTGATCTTTCAGCATTTGCAGTAGGACAGGTTTATTCATGTACATGTGATTTCATACTAGGTTTTGCCCATACACTGATGTATACATGTGGGCCAAACCTAGAGTAGAATTTGAAAGACCTGATGCAAAGCCAAGTTAATATCATCCATGCATGATGGTACAATGTTTCAAAAGTTTGATTTCTTTTGTCTTGGAAAATATGAACAAGTTTGCTGGTGTTTTACCGTGATCTGTTAACAAACTTTTTTGTTATGGATGGTCTTGTTCCCAGGCATCCCTAATGAGGAAGTTAAGGAGGTGTATATGGGGAATGTGCTTCAGGCAGGGGAAGGTCAGGCACCCACCAGGCAAGCAGCTCTTGGTGCTGGTAAGGATCTCATTTTCTGTGTAGCCCTCTCAGTCCTTGAGTTAATGTCATGGCAGCGCTTGAAAATCAGAATAAAGTTGGTGTCCACAGCAGTTAGGTTATCACAAGTAATACACTGTATCTGAACTTGTAACACATTTCAGAGGTTCACAGAAGACTTTCAAATGCAGTGCAAACTGGCAGTGTTCATTCTTAGGTTAAACTGTCAAATTTCCCTTTCATTTTGTACACGTAAGCCTGTGAAGGCATAGACTATTCAAAGGGTGCATTGAACTTCAATTTGTCTGCTGTGTAGGTCCTGTTGTCACACTGAAGTGATGCCAGAAATGACATTATTTTGAGGAATACTTTACAGAGATTGTTCAAATGACTCTCAAGTGTCAACATTTATTTTAGAATTTGCCAATGTTGCTAACATTTTCAAAAATGGTATGAAAAGAAGTCCCAATTTCAAGTGATAAGGAATTTTTACATGTACATGTATCTGTCTACTTACATTCTTACAGCATTGTTACTGAATGATGCATATGTACATGTACCATTATTTCTTAAAATTCAATCTCCTTTTTGGGTTGAAATAACTCCAGAGAAGGTTCACAATGTCTCACTTCCAAATTTTGGGTGTGTTAACCCCTTAACAACGGGATTCTTTTGACCACGACTGCTGGGCTGCGGTATGTCCAGTGTGCAAAGCCCTGTCCAGCAGCAGGCCCACATTGAAACTGCAGGTGCATGATGAATAGAATGTATGTACTAATCCTTGCACAGAGCTGCGGCTGTCGACATCTCGCGGTGTGAAGGGGTTAACAACGAACATTGAAATGTTTTCTTCTCAGGTCTACCTTTGAGTACGCCATGTACTACCATCAACAAGGTGTGTGCGTCTGGGATGAAAGCTATCATGATGGCAGCACAGAGCCTCATGTGCGGACACCAGGTAATAGGACAGCACCTCAGCATAAGAAATGTAGCCACGTATTCCTTTCAGAGTGCTACGTTTGGACAGCATTTATGGTGTAGTTCAAAAGTGGAACATAGGTCGTATCTAAGATATCATGTAAAGTAACTTGATTTTGGATATTACCAGACTTCGTACGTTTGCACGATCTCGGGAGCCAAACTCTCACATCATCACTTGCCAGTTGTTGTTTTTGCTGTTTACTAGTGCCGCATGCAAGGATTCATGCACAAGTCAAATATGCTAAGGTACTGAGTGGAACTGTCGCCCAGGCGAAGTACGCACGGGCAGGCGTTGCCCAAGCATTTTTACATGCACACGTTACACATTACATTGTTTGAAGATGTCATGGCAGACTCTGTATGCAGTAGTGAATGAAACCATTACTCGTCCTCATGCTTGAGCAATTCTCACTGTGTTGTTGCAAATGTTGTCTTGGAGTCTCCAAAAAGCAATTATGGGATAAGCAATGGCACACTGATTTTGAACGGGCAACCAGCGAGGGGCAGAATTTGTGAAGTCCAACTTTGTAAAGGACTGTGTTTGTTGTATCTTATGTTTTAAAAAGTCGGTATTTCAGGCAAAAGTAATCCACCCTGAGTTGAAGTGCACCCTCATCGGCAAAGGGGAGACAGGCTGGTGGGAAGTTTCTCAACCAGGCTCGTGCATGCACCCGATGCACTTGCGAGGACCCATGCACTGTGTACATTCCAACGTAAATTTGTTGAACGTACTCAGCACGCTCAGCAACCAATTTGCATAAACCTGCGCGCTCATTTGGTGAATTCCCACCAAAGGACCCTCGCTTATAGCCACTCGAAGCAGAAAACCCTGTCTTGGAGGTCATTGTGGATAAACACCATCTAGCTGACTCTTCTTTGCATCATTTTCCCCCCCTCCCCCAGGATGTCATGGTTGCTGGGGGTATGGAGAGCATGTCTAATGTACCATTCCTGATGCCAAGGGCTGAACCTACGTATGGAGGGCAACGTATTGAGGTCAGTCAGAGGTCATGCGCATATGCATGAATGGATTCTGTCCAATCAGAGCAAAAATAGCAAGCTGTGTCTTTTAGGAAGCATTTATTTTTGGCTGTCATCATTTTTACATGTAACAATGTTGGAGCTACGTGTATGAATGTTAGTTTGTGACTTGTCGTTTGGTAGATGGGACTGTCGTTAAATGCCTTTGATAGAAATTATAAGGGCTAAAGCCAAATTAATTTGAATCTACTTTTACCGTTATTTCCTGGTGGATGTTTTCTGGAGGAAAGCCAAGTACCAAGGACAATTCATTTGCAGTTTGTTTTTCACACTCTAGTGATTTCTTAATAAGTACATAACTGATACCAGGCAGTGAAAATTAAGTTAATTATTAACAAATGGAGTGATAAAACCGTTAAGTGTTGAAACGTAGGTCTTAAAAATAATACAAACCCCAAAACTTGAAATTTGTTGGTCAATGAATTCTCATTTGATTCCTTAGGATGCGATCGTCAAAGATGGGCTGACGGATGTGTACAACAAGATTCACATGGGTAACTGTGGGGAAGACACGGCCAAGAAACTGGACATCTCCAGAGCAGAGCAAGATGAGTTTGCTATCAGCTCCTACAAGAAGAGCCAGACCGCAGGGGCAGTGAGTATCACCGTGTAGGTCGCCCTGTGTGGTAGCGGAATGGGGAGGGTTTGTGTTGCTAGGAAACTGTTGATCTCGGTGTACTTTTGAAGCTGTGTGTCACTCAGTGTGGTCCCAGTGTGGGGAGGATTTTTCCCGCGAGAAAACGATTGACCAAGTTTGTAGGATCTGTTTAGTGCCCAGCACCACTTTTATTCCCAAAGTATGCGTCTAGGCATTCCACAACCCAGCAATAGCATGGTATATGTTTTGTGTGTGCCTAATTTTCTGTTAAAACCTCATGAGAGTGTTTGAAATGTTTCTGTGAAAAAGAAAAGTTGTTGATTTCTGTGTTTTCATTTGTAGGCCGGTATCTTCCAAAAAGAGATTGATCCTGTCAACGTACCGCAGAGAAGGGGTAAGGCACTGTAGGACAAAAGTGTCCAGGAAACAAGAAAAGGGAAATATTATAGTAGATTTCATATTCTAAAGATCAATTTTTTTTAGAAAGTCTTACGTTAAAATTGGTTGGGGCCAGCAATCATTCCTTGCTGTTTTCAGTGACCTGGTTTGGATAATACATTTACCATTTCTAGATACAATGAATAATGTGAATAATTAATGAATAATTGACGAATAATTAATGAATAATTGAGTAGGTAGGTAGAGTGTCATTTTCATCCCTGTAGCTGTTTTTCTCTTGGTCCAGGAAAGCCAGATGTAGTTGTGTCAGAGGACGAGGAGTACAACCGAGTCAATTTTGACAAGTTCACCTCCCTCAAGGCGGTCTTTGAGAAGGATGGTGAGGCCCCTTTGAATCTAAGCTGTGCTGAATCTTTCAATTTCAACAGAACCTTTCAAATACTTACACACAGAAATTGGGTGAACAGTGTGGGTTTAATCTTTGGGCAATTCCACATGAAGGCAGGAATTTGGCCACTCTGTTGCCAACCCATTTGTAATTGTACTTTACAAACAAAAAAGAAGTTTTACAAAAATTGGACAACAGAATTAAATGTCATTGCACTACCTACTATTTCCAACTTTTTTTTCCAAAACTGTTTTCAAGATCACCTACATGAATAGTAATGAAGTTGGCAACAGTCTGACAATATTTCCTCTTTTTTGCGTTGAATTGTCCCATTAAACGATACCCAATGGGCTTCCTACGTTGCTCGGCTCACGCAGTATCAAGAAGCAGGTAAATTTGGAAGAGTCTAGAGGGAACACTATGTTTTAATTTTGGGACTAAAAATACGATGTACATGTATCTGCCCAGTTTACAAATGTTTACATTCGCATGCTTTAAATTTTATTTCTGTTTGTTTCCTGATAACCCAGGCACAGTAACGGCAGCTAATTCCAGCACGCTGAATGATGGTGCTGCTGCGATGGTTCTCATGACATCACAGGCAGCAGACAGACTCGGCGTCAAACCACTGGCTAGAATCCTAGGTAAGGGAGAATATTTCTGTAAGGGATCTCCCGTGTATTGACAGGACCGTCTTGGGTCTTGTCCCCAGAAGATTAAGCATTGTCATTGCTGATTCCTGTACACAGATACCAGCTTGTGTTTGCTCTGATAGTCTTGCTGAGGCATTGTAGATTTTGGCCATTTATCAAAAGACCAGATCAACTTCCAGACAGCACATGCTTGATTTTGAGATCTGTATATGTGTTTGATTACTCTGAATTAATATGGGTCTTTTGTTCTATTTGTTATGTAAAACTTGCGCCCACATCCAACACAAAGTTATTAGACCATTTCAAGGATGTTTGAAACATCGGAAGGGTTAAAATTTAAAATTATTTGAAGCTGTGATTCCAGGAAAGGAGACCTAGTAAAAGAGAGCCTTAATTAGTAGGCACCTACCACTGTGGATTAATCCAATAACCTAAAGTAGAAGCCACCTCTGCAATACAGCACCACCCTTGCCAAGGTATGACACCAAGGTTACTATAGTCATAGAAAATCCTGGAAAGTCATGGGAAAAACTGAGAAAAGTAGAGTGTCCTGAATCTTCTTGTGAGGAAAAGTCATGGACATGATGACCATGTAAGAGTTATTCTTGATAGGCTGTCGTAAAGCACTGAGCATACTGTGCTTTACACTGTGGCATTGATGAAGGCCAAGACCCAGTTTTCAAAGCTGCGGTAATTTCTCCTCTTCCTGCAGGTTTTGCTGATGCAGCTGTCGCACCCATCGAGTTCCCAATTGCACCTGCCCATGCCATGCCAAAGGTCAGCAAAGCCAAAGGTCATTTTGTGACTCTATTGTGCGGTGGCAATTAGCTGTGACAGAGGCTTTCTTGTATTAATTGCTAGCGTTCGTCCCTGTTATACTTGTGATTGGGTGTATGATTTCACCTGTGATGGAATCAACTGCAGCTCTGGAGGTAGCTGCAGGTTTATCATTGATATCTCGTAGTTCTCCTGACGACGGACAGAGCACGCTGTCCGAAACATTGAGCCTCTCCGGTTCTTATCAGAACCACACAGACTCAGAAAGAGATATTGCATGGTGCTTACCGCAAGCTTTCCATCTTAATCTCGTAGTTCATCAGCAATCTTAATCCACAAAGCTGGAACCCTGACCAAAGTCACTTGAACACCCCATGATCTCAATGCCTCAGGTCCTGGAGCAGACGGGAGTCAAGCTGGAGGACATCTCCATGTTTGAGATCAACGAGGCCTTCAGTGTTGTCGTCTTGGCCAACATCAAGCTCCTTGGACTGGACGCCAGTAAAGTCAACATCAACGGGGGAGCGGTCAGCATGGGGCATCCAATAGGGTATGGCCAAACTTTGTGAAACTACAGTTCAAATAACATTGCCTATATGACAAGCACTGTCTATGGAGGTAACATGGGATTCAGTAGAAAGACCGTTGAGGTTACTACCGTTCAGACCAATCATGCTTGAAGCAAAGAAAAGCCGGTGTACCTGTATGGTGTAATTTCACCGAACTACTCCAACTGTTGTTTGTAGTTGTCTGGCATGACTGTGTTTATTTCCCAGGAAGTTGAGATGGGTGCAAGGAATGACTATATACCTGCCAATCAGGGGTAACAGCAGAATGTGAAGTTCTCTTTCTTATCTGGTCTATTCTCTCTACAGGATGTCAGGGGCTAGGATTACCGGCCACATGGTCCACAACCTCAAGCCTGGGGAGAAAGGCCTTGGAGGGATCTGTAATGGAGGGGGTGGAGCTTCAGCCATTCTGATTGAGAAATTGTAGGGGGTTGCACAGAGCGGCACGCTGAGTGTGCTTGCAGTGCAGTGTGTATGAGAAAAAAAGAGAGAATTTGGTATTTCAAAGGAAAAAAATTACCCAAACTGTCCCAACCAAGATCACCACTCTTCTGTGTACATGTATATACAGCACCCAAATAATTCTGTCATATGAATGGTGGACTATTAATCATATTTCATGTATTGCTTGCCCCAGATTACAGCCACCAGGGTCTTGCAAATAGAAATTGAACCCTTGGCAATATTTTTATGACCAGTTGGCATAGTCACAGTATTAGACAAAAAGACAGATGATAATGTCAAACAGGAAGCACTGTTCCTTCTAAAAGAAGTTTTTGAACTCATGTTTTGCTGATGGTGCTCATGCAAAGAAAAACATTCAAATGTGTTGTCGGCCAATTAGAGGAATTTGTTGATCATGGAGGAAGGTCCGACAGCTTTTTGTCGGGATTTTACTCTTGTGTATGAAGGCAAAACAGTGAGAAAGTTACCAATCAGACGAGGATTTATTCAGCTAGTGCTTTAAAAAGCTAATGCATGTTTCACATTGGAATGGAGAAAAATGATTTCTTTCAATGATAGACGGAATGTTCCATTTTTGCCTCATGGAATGGAACATTCCATTTGTTGCCTCATGATATTATTCTTACCATTGCACCCATAGACATTCATTATTTGTATACATGTAATATGACAATTCCATGAATGGTCTCACAGCTCCAAATACCCTCAGGTACACATTTTTTTTTAAAGTTTTATTCTTGTACATTACTACATTAACCCTAACGGTCTTGAATGCTACAAAGTACTACTTAGTAGTAAAATGTAGTACTCAGCCCTGTCCCTTGTAAGAGGACATGACATTATTATTCTCTGAAGCCATAAAATACAATAGAGAAGACAATGTACCATACAGTGCTGTGGCACTATGAATGCATGACTTTATTGTTCTCTATATGAGTAACAACGGAATAAACCTAGCCAGAAATAATAATTTGTAGCGCTAGGTCCTTCAGGCTCAGAGTGTTACGTAGTATTTTGTAGTACTGAGTACTCTAAGCCAAACAACGCCTGGTACTGTTAGGGTTAAAACAAGCGTATTCTAAACAAGAGAAGTACAAATTCCCAAAACATCATGGCTTGTTCAACAACTTCAGGTTAGTTTAGCTTTAAAAAGGAGAGCTTTTTTGGAGTGGTGTTAGAGGATGGCATATGGCATTAAATGCAATTGTTTCCTTTTTTTTGCATTCTGCAATGATGTCACTCCAGTTGGGCCGTTTGTTGGTTTTGTTTCCTGTTTTTGCATGAGTTGTGTCACTAGTGGTGAAAAAGGCCAAATCGTACAAGCACTTGGTGCAAGAACCAACAAGGATGCAAACGTTTGATGCGAGATCAAATAATTGTCCTGTGAATTTATAAAAGTTGAACACACTGAAAGTTGTGGAAAATGTTGCTGCAGACATTTTGTTGCAGTAATTTCATTTTAAGTTGTGTTTGGAACATCATAGCTTGAAATGCGTGCCCCCTTTTTTAACTTTGTCTTTCCTTAGGGAATGAAGTTTGTTTTGACTACGCCCCCCCCATTGCCCTGGTTTAGGGGCCTACATATACTTCTAAAGGTTGGAAGACCCCATAAAAAGCATCCACTTTGTACATGTGTGTACGGGTCTTAGTACGTGTTTAATGGCTTCACCGATGGTTATAACACCACCCCCCTCCAAAAAAATTCCTGGATCCGCCTGCATAGGTTGAAACGTAGATGTTGTGAACACCAGTATTGTGATGGGGGGCCAACTTTTGTCCCCACAGCTACAAAACGAATTGTGCCCAGGCTGCTGCAGAGGCTAGCAATCCAACTGTTCCACTGCACTGGAAACATGGCCAAGTCGGGGGGGGGGGGTTGTTAAGTACCACAAGTTACTTCCCAGGTACCCCTGACAGTGGTATTTTATTTTGACTTCATACAATGAAGATGATAAAGAAATAAGTTATTTTAACGAAAGTCCATCCATTTCATTTTTCTAAAAATTCACTATTTAAATATTTAAAGGCACTCTGCTTTTGTATTTCCTTTTGCCGTTAAAATGGCCTTGACGTGTTTCAATTCTTCAATGTCTTGATAGGCACTGCGGCGAACACCCTTTTACCTGCAACCATTTGCATAATAATTTTATGTAACAAGTATGTACAGTCTGTGCAGAAAAAACCTTTGAATGAATATAATATTTGACAGCTGATGATGTTCATGGTGAAAGGTTGAATTTATAAACATTTTTCTTGGAAAACTGAACTGGCTTGTCTTTGGTGGGCCAATAAATCACAGATAAGATTATGGATTAGTAATAAAAATTATGTTCATATATTTGTACATTTACTTGTAAAAATTTAAACATTTGCATCAACTGCTTTAAGGCACAAGAAAAATATCTAAACCAAGGACAAAGAATTCTTATACACAGTGCTGAAAAAAATCAGCTTCTAAAATAAACCTTTAGAATTTCTCTCCTCCACCTAATTTTTTTTCTTTACTATGAAAAATAAACGAGAGGCTGCATATTTTGGAAGACACAAAATAACTGGGTAAAATAGTTGAAGGATGTAACTTTGCTTGGTATACCAAAAGTTTGTGTGGTCCATATATATAGACAAAACACAACTCCATGCAGTAAAAAAAAATATCAAACACCGTGGTTTTCTGTGGGACTGTTTACACTAAAAGTGGATAAAACCATTCAGTAGGGTCATAAATGGCCATGCTAAGAAATCTGAGCAACTTTTCAAAGATCCCACACTAACATGACATGTTGGCTAATCACGGTCCTCTTTACATCACCGACTGATTGGGAGACTATTGGGAGACAGAGTGGGCATGCCTTTGTCATGCCTTCAATTCTTCCTCAAGGTGCGCCATTGTTATCTTGGAAAGTTATCTACAGAACAATTTTCAAACCAAATGTGTCAATTTAAATTATCACACAAACATACTGCCTTTGAGTTACTGCATTCTGTTGCCGTTAATTTCTGTACATAGGTGCTGACACTCGCTTACCTTAGAGGGAAAATTGCTCAACTTAGCAACATAACAATGAGAATCACTAGGTTTGGATATGCGTAAGCACAAGCACGCAAAGCAACGCCATGAAATAATGGTTACCGTACACAAAATCTTGAAAGCGCAAATTTTCTGCAAATTGTTAAGCAGCTCTGTGAAACAGCACCCTGGCAGTTCATGTAGATCTGCAGATTAAATAACGCCCCACCCCTGATTCCAACAACAGTACAGACGTGTCTTCTCTGGTTTTTCTCCATCTGTAAATCCCCATTATAAATTAAAAATACAAGTACACACATCACTGTGTACAAGGAAATAAAATTTGACTTTGTAGAAGAAAATGCTTGGAGCACTGTACGCATAACAATATTTGTAAGTACAATGTATGTACAGGAGAAATTAAAATAAAATGTAAAAAGTGAGACACTTCATGAACAGCTGGTTTGCCTGATGAACTGCATGCTCTATTCAATCAATCAATACATAAAATACTGATAGCACACTTTAAAATAAAGAGTGAAAGTTTCAGTGATGAGCAGGACACCTTTTGTACACAGGTATAAATTTAAATGGTACATGAAAAACAAAGGTGAACTTAAGTTACGTCAGAAAACACCCTCGGCCCACTCAAGCCCATGCATGCAATATTCATGTAAAACAGAAAGCTGGCACCAATATAAACGTGGATTCATATTTGAAGTTCGTGAGTTTTCCTCGAGGGTGTTACCTGAAGACTGTCTGACTGGCTCAAGTCTGCTCTGGCAAAACCCTTGACATACGCAGATGGTTTGGAATCCTCGGTGGACTTGGGGAAGTCTGCCCTGGCAGTGCCGGGCCGATTGTTTGACTTGCGCATTGTTTGCCTCTCGCGTTCCATGGCAAAAGCCCGGATCAAGACATCGTCGATGGGGTTGCGACGAGTTCGGATCGAGGACGCAGTCGCCGCATCTCCCGACGACACCCCAGAGGAGGAGTTTGAATAGCCACACTGATTGGGCGAATACTGGGATGACGAGGGTGAATTTGAATCTGGGGAGGTCTGATTGGACTGTGGGTTGCTAGGCAATGACTGAGCAGTAACATCTGCAGGAATTCTGTATGCGGACTTTTGCCATGAAGATGCACTGACGGGTTGCTGTCTCACTGCCTCCTGGGAATGTCCAGAAGCTTTTGTGTGATGTCCCTGCTGGCTTTCAAACTGGGCTTTCTGCTCCAGAGCGATCTTTGACAGTCTCTGGAAGGGACGGTTGTCTGAGGCATGCGGAGCTTCCGAGGTGCACTCCGATCCCTGGACTTGCGTATCGGAATGGTTGGCCCGGACAGGACGGCGCGACACTGTCTTTAGTGAGATGGTACTGCTGCTCGAGGATTCCTCCCCACTGGAGTCCGTCTTGAAATTAAAACTCGCGGCAACCACTGCGCTCTCAGGTTCTCTGGGCTTGGAAGACTGCGGAAGATCGGGATGGGCGATGGGGGGAATGTATGTAGCTGAGACCAGCTCTTTTCCCGAATGATCATCCTTGGGGTGTCCAGGGCTGGCAGAGGCATTCTGATGCTGCACTGCCCTTGTGAAGCTGCTGGTTCTCCTGCCCCTGGGTGGGGGTCCACGCATCACCATTCGTGACCTTCCCCTGTTATCCTCTGTGTAATTTGATTGATATGCATCGTGTGATTGTTCTCCGTTCACGTGATGGTTCAGTATCCCATTTTGTCTTGGGTGGTTTGAATGGGTCAGGCGTCCATCTGCGCTGGCGACTCTGGTGCTATGACCTGGATTCGGGGACGGCCTCCTCCTGGCAATCATCCTCCCGCTGGGGCCAACTATCTCTGCCTTGACCCGCTGCCGTGTGTTGGGATCTGATCCCGATGAGTCCTCAGTCCCTTCAGAGATCCTCTCGAAGCCGGACGGATTGCCGTGCAGTGGCTGGCGCTCGTCCGAGGGATAATACACAGCCAGCTGCTGTTGAACCGTCCGCAGGCGCACCTCAAAGTAGCGACGCAGCTCCTCGCGCACGTAGCTCAGCCGGCGCTCATACTCCTCTGACCAAAGCGCCCTCTCCTGCAGAATGCGGCGGTCAATGCGGTGCAGGCACTCAGTGTGCTCGGAGGCCACACGCTCCTTGCACAGCTGGTCCAGGCAGCTGCCTTGATGTGTCAGCTTCTTGTCCAGCGAGACCAGCTGGTGTTCAAACTGTGCCCTCGTGGTGTCAATCTCGTACAGCATCTTCTCCTTGCTGGCCTCCAGCTGATTCTGGAGTTTGTGGATGTAGATGGAGCAGGTGCAGTAGCTGGTGGTCGTACCCTGGATTGAAAATGAAGGAAATACCAATCTGCCAGATGTCATATACAGTGTTCTCCATAACTTAAATGTATAGTACAACCTAACAATGTGAATCACGAATCACCAGAGCCACTTGAGTTTTAGAATCTTACACACAGTCAATCAACATCCTCCTCAACATTGTTCTTCCCCCTTTTGTCTAGTTTCATCACTTTGAAAATCTGAAATACCCAAAAAAGAGCTCCATTTGGTCTTTCTAAAGCAAACTACATTGTACATCAGACTCCCTTTGCAATATCAGGTCGCATATTGTGCTTTTATATTGCCTGAGGTTGGTTAACAGAAAGATGCAGGTGAAAAAAGGTGTTTGAATCCTGAGGAAACTGTGGTAACTTCACGACTGGCAACAGCTACTCTGGATCATCAACAACCACATCACAGATTTTGCTCACACAAAGCACTAATGCATTCCTGTAATGTCAACTTTGGGCAAGTGAGGGCTGGTTCCCAACATGTCATGTTAAAGATGCAACAAGGGCTCTGGGTAGTACAGGAGATGTGACCTTTCAACATCAGTAAAGAAAGGTAACGGTAAGCACTCAAAGTTTCATCTGAATGAGTACAACAGCATCTTTGCATAGGCACTGAACGGAAAACAGTGCTTCGTGAAATGTCTGTCACACATGAATCTCCTTCTCAGGTATGGAACTGGGAAATCAGAAAAAAACAAATTCCAAACAGCGCATCCAATTACATTGTACAAGCTTTTTTTTTTAATTTGACAAGGCATCCGACGAAAGTAAACAGAGGAAATAAGTTGAACAAGGGAGGGTTGCATGCTTGCTATTCTCCTCACAGTCCAAATGCTAATTGTGCATAATATACATGTAGTTGACACATAAAATTGATGCGATCAGTGCACTACAACAGTTCCCCAAGGTTTCTGTTATTCGAAAAGAAATAGGTTCTGTATGTCCCTTTTTACCTTAGTGACATTGCCTTTGTCGTCTTTGTACAAACATTTCTGATGATGCTTGTGTCGGTGATGATGACCCTTGCCGTCAACGTCTTCAAACTTCACGCTGTGGATTTGCTGATGGAGCTGCTTCTCCCACAGCACTGCGTTCCTCAGCTCCTCCTTGACGAAGGTCACCTGCTTGTGGCTGGTAGTTCGCTGTGACTGGTTGGTGGCAAGAATTGGCTGGGGAAACAACAGGAGGATGCCCTTGCAACAAACAACCGGTGCAAATTTCTGGTGGCTGGTGTAGACACGACTGGTGCTCTTTAGAGCACAGTCAAGTTTTCTACTCGTACTTCTTATAGTTATAAACGAAAACATTGATTTCTATTGCTTGGATAACTTTTGTTTAACCTAGGGGAGTCAGGTTGGCAAGGTAATTCTTTCCTCGCCTTCCACCTCTGTGGTCCCGGGTTTTGATTCCCGGCCTGGTCCATATGTGGATTGGGCTTTCAGTCCCTACCTAAGTCCGTGGGTTTTACCCAGAATATTCCTCTGGGGTTTTCCTCCCACCTCTAAAACTGTAACTGCTTCTTACTGTCTCCCTTTACTGATGTTGGTGAATGTGGGTCGTTTGGCGGCTGCCTGAGGCACCCTTGTATGCCATCAGCTCAACCCTGTTTAAATGTATTCATTTTTCCATGCTTAATGTCTTCATTGTACAGCACATTTGAGCGTATCTATATGAAGTTTGCGCTTTGTAAATGAATAAATTATAAATATTATTATCAACCTTTTTAGTTCAGTAAACAGCATTTTCTAGCTAAAATAAACCAGCGCTGTCAATGAACCGTTCACACATCACAGCAAAGCCATTACAAAACTGTCAAATCATCCAGTCTCCAACGTGAATGCGCTATTACAAGCTCTTCACATGAACTGTGACAACAGCATTCCTTGTTAATCCTTGTGTCTAGAATTGTGAAGGGACTTTTGAGAGGGCTTGTGAAAAGTCCTTTGAAAGACCCAACTACAATACTGCATGAAAGTAGACCTTTCTGCACTCAGGGTCCATGTCCTCACAGTGTTCTCATGTTGTGAACTTCAAACGTTCTGGGGATCCTCATCAAACACGGTACTATGATTTTGCTTTTGCCAGTTCAATCCCCAAGAGAGAACCACACCTAAATTCTCTTATCCTATCTGACATACTCCTGCACTAACCTTCTTGGCCAGTGCGGACGGCTTCCCTGATTTCTTCTTCCGTTCCTCTCCATCTTTCTTGTGCTGGTGACTTGCGGCTGCTCTCTCTTGGCTCTCCTTTCTCTCCTGTTCACGCAGCTCCCTCCTGCCTCTGACGCGAGCCTCATCTGGCTTACTGGCATCGGCCACCTCTGCATCCTAAAATTTAGTAACAATATACCAAACTAGCATTTGGAGCTACCCGTACCATCCTAAAAACTCTTGCCATATATGGATATATCCTACGGATTCCATCCCTAGGGGCTGATTCATCAAAAATGACCCCAAAGCAAAACTATCTGCAGGGAGATTCACTTGAGTTTAAATTGTGTTAAACTTTTATGAACATGAAGCATGAATGCTTGATCTGACATCACATAATTACACTCGTCTCCACCTTCACGCCAAGTATGAACTGGCCTTTACTGGGCTCTCATAAGAGAAAAAACAAAAACCACTGCTGTTGGCAAGGGTTGCTTGGTGCCATTTCCAACATACATGTATGTCCACAGTTGGGTAAGTTTCTCTCTAAGGAGCAAGCTAGCGGTTTGTACTCATTCTGTAGAAAAAGTTGTTTCCCTCGCTCAGCGTCCTTTGCAGGCACGCATCAACACAAATTGATGAGCAGTTTGCTTATGAACCCTCTTGTAAAAACGTTCTTGGACTTCATAAATTACTATATACATGTATAACAGAAACTTTACATTATCAGAAATGGAAAATAAATAAATACAAAGGGAACTTAATTTTTTCCTTTTTGTATGCAGGATGTTGTGTAAACAGCATTTTTATTACCGAGTCCAGAAAATCACATCGACAGCGATGCAGCTTCCACAAAGCTGTTCAAACTGTTCAATTAGCCAAATACAAGAAGCCGATGTTGAGCATGTCAAAAGACTGCTCATTTGCTACCATACCCAACATCATGCCAGACTCCATTGGCATGAATTTCTCTGAGAAGCCAAATGAACACAAACCTGTTTGTGTCTGTGGTGCTGCTGGGTGGCCTCGGGTCTGTCCTGGCCTGCAGCTGGGGGCTTGTGCGGGGTTTTGTTGTGGTGGTGGTGGTGGTGATGGTTGGAAGACTTGCTTTTCTGCAACTGTTGTAAAATCCACATTGACATTTATAAAGCAAGTCACACCAGCCTTGTCGAACAGTAACTCTCCAAGGACCAACGCCGAACTTGTCAGTTCCCGTATGCCATTTACAAAGAATACATACAATCAATGTGTCCTACGCGACGTCCTAGGGACATGCTGAGGGTACATGTGCAAAGCAACTGGGAAGTGAAATTTCAAATGCTAGAATGGTGCATCTGCATGTTTTACAAGTTCAGGTACAACGCACATGTAAGTGATAGCATTAAAAATGGTGCTGTACCAGACACCCACAGGGCTTGGAAAAATTGGAGTATATTACCATTTTCTGAGTTTACAAGTAGAACAAGAACCACAAGCACGATTACTTTTTTTAAACATTGGATGCCCTCTGCTTTTAGCTGTATCATAACTATCCAAAATGGTGATTCAGAAAGCAACATTTCCCAAAGAACATGTAGATACATGTACCGATAGGTATTGTGTGTTCCTATTGTCTGAGGTAACCATCTATCACTTCATCAATCATGATACGTTTGTGCCATGTGCGGGCTGAATATAAGTGATACCAGACACCACTTACAAAAAAAGCTTTGGCGAGCAATGCTGTTGTCAATGGGCACAGACACGATTTGGTTAAACTGTAAGAGTTATTCTTACTTTACTTGTAAATTCCCCTTACCTTAATAGCAGCCAATATGAGCATGACAACGTCAGCATGATCATTCTTTCTGGCTATCTCCAAAGCTGTCTCTCCATTCTGATGTCAAAAATGTGAAAATTGCTGATTAGTACCAATGAGTCATGCACAGAGACGGACTGTGAGTGCCCCATACTATCATCATTGACCCACTCCGAGGTGCAACTGAGAAATAATAGTACATTTGTTGGAGTCGTATGTAACGTATCAGAAATCGAAGATCCGGATACAAATACTGCACTCAACCACTCTTCCTGACTTTTAAATCTTTTTAAATTCCTCAATCGGTCAAACGGAAGGTCATTAATGCCTGCACACAAAACTTCATGGCAAGAGAGATGAAATTGATCTTGGAACCAGTTGTTTCTAAGTTCCAAAATTCTTCAAACCAGTCAAAACGTTCTCTACCGCCATTAACTGTCACCAGGCTTACCGTAACTTACATTATTACTGATGCTGAGATCAGTGGATGCTTCAATCAATATCTTGGATATTTTCTTCTTTCCGAGTCCAGCAGCAACGTGCAGAGCTGTGTTCCCTTCCTGAAGGTAGGAACAAATATGAAAGCAACAACTGTTGACAAGATTCTGTCTAATTGACAGCTTCAAAATGGGGCTAAAAACGTAAGAAGAGGAACAAAAACATTAAAACCTATTTCTAGTCTCCTACAAAAAAAGTACCGATGCCAGGAAAGACTATTAATGTAGGCACTGTGAAGATGTTTCTAAGTCTCCAACAAAATTGAGTGCAAACACCTGCTCTAATTTAATACATTTCTGGAAACACACATATCATTAAAATGACAAACATATTTTTTTCATCAACAGATTATTCTGACCAAACATTAATCGGTCAAATTTTCTCTAATGGGCCAAATCTGACAGGCTCATAGTTCTTATCTATGGGGTCCTAAAATCCTGAAGGCATGTGGAATGCTTTTATTCAACATCTAAACTATGCCAATACATCTAACTACAGGTCCTGACTACAGCTGGAATATGCTGGACTACTCCTTCTGGAAAGATTGTTCATATCCACTTTGACTCACCGAGTTCGTGATATTAACATTGGAGTTGGCACTAACTAGGATCCTACAGCAGGTGATGTGGCCAAACAGAGCAGCGATGTGTAATGCAGTCTCACCATTCTGGGAAATAAAAGAGAACAGCTTTATATGAGATTGGTGAGTGTTTGTTATTACCACATGGCATTAGAGCAAGACTATATGGACGGCACAGTGCACCACAGGTTGTGTTCAAAAGTTATAGTTGCAGCAGGAAGTAACTGTGTACCTGTGGAAGGCACTGGCTTGCAGCTGAAGTCTCTTCCCACAGACATGTGTGATACTTAAAGCCATAGCCACTTGCTTTGAAAAAGACCGTGCTCATGCAAACCAATAACACTCTCGTCCCACGCACACAATGATGCCAGTGGCACTGAACTTGTATGGTCGGTTTTCAAGGGAATGTGCCCAACCTTTTGCCAAGAGCTAAAGGTAAAGTACATCATTGTCCAAAGATGACAGAATCAAACAATAGATTCACAATCTGTGACAGAAAAAAATCTTGTTTCCGTCGTGAGCCTGTCATCCTGCGGTATGATAATGCAAATTACCTAGCTGGTTTACGAGTGAGGCTTAGTCTACTTAACTTACGTTGTTCTTGATGTTTGGGTGGGAGCCAGCTCTGAGCAGTATCCTCGTGGTCTCACTGTGGCCATTTTGGCAAGATTGGTGTAGAGGCTTATTACCATACTTAAAAAAAAAGAACAAAAATATTGAAACATTATATTTCCAATTCTTCAAACTAAATTTTGGCCATCTTTGCGAGGTGTTCTAACAGCACTGTCATTCCAAACAAACTGAGACCTGAACATCTATTGATTCAAACCTTTTATACCAAACATCTCTTGGATTTTTCTTATCGTTTTCATCTGTAACAATGGCAAAGCCATCCAAGGATTGTAATGCCCCAGAGCTAATATATAGAGACAGTTGTGACATGAGTTTCTCAATTTTTGGCACCAAAATGGTGGATTATACATCTGGGCCCAATTTCACAACGCTGCTTACCGCAAGCGAAAAATTGGCGCTTACCATAGCAGAAAATTCTGTGCTTACAGCGAACTTACTTCACGGGTTAGCGAGGAATTTTGGCTTGTGCGCATGCGCACATTCCGTAATTAAGGATTCTTTGTTTAAAGGTTAGTGCAGAATTTTTCAGCCAGCGCGGTTAGCGCAGAATGTAGATCGTAAGCGTGGAATTCTGCGGTAAGCAGCGCCATGAAATTGGACCCAGTTCACATGGACAATTACCACACAATAGCTGCACGCTTTACCGGCTATTCTGGTTCCAGAGGCTGATGTCAGGGCTACAATCTCCACACACAGCAGTAGTGCCAATGGTTCCAACCCCCCCAAAAGGAGGCTGAAGGCCACTGCTCCGCCCCCTACAATCCCGGCTAAAATGGTTGGCAAATATCACAATAGGAATACCCTTCCCTGGTCCCCTGCTGCAATGTTATCTTCAGCTTGAGTACACCACATAATAAGAGACACCGCTGAGAAAGGGACCCCAAGTAAGACTTGGCCAGGAACATACAGTGTAGGTGACTTTACCTTGTTGCTTGCATGTAAGTTGGCCTTCCCTTGTTTGACTAATGCGACAACAATCTCATCATAGCCAGTCCAGGTGGCCTCATGCAATGCAGTGTTGCCATTCTGTGCACAGGAAATTCACAAACACAAGCACATACATGTATTGTGGTTCAAAAGTATGGTATGTATGCATTAAATGTACTTGGTTTGTCATGTTTGTCAAATAAAGCGGATGAACACTTGAGCATGAGATCTCTGAGTTCAGGAACGGTCTTGCCTTTGTGGTACATGTATATCTAACATGTCCTACGAGGTATGGTACCAGAAGTTTTATCCAGCAAAGTCACACACACTTCATTCAAAAACTGCATGATGGTTTCACATGTACATGTATATCTGCATTTACAAATTGAAGACAAAGATTGGGGGGGGGGATTACATCACACCTGACTTTCATCACAGCCTCACCTCATCTTGTCTATCCACCGCACACCCCTCCAGCAATAATGCTCTGACCGCATCTGTATGGTTATCAATTGCAGCCCGGTGCAAAGCGGTGCAACCATACTGAAAAATGGAGGAGATGGAAGGATGTGAGAGAACTATAAGGCAACTACCGTGCAAACGTGTGCAATAAAAAACATTACAATTACAGAGATGCCAACTTTTCAAAATGAAAAGGTATAATCCTATCGCACTTCCAGCTCCATTTTCCAACCAACCCTAAGGCCCGACCGTAAAAATTTCAACGGCAAATTAGAAACAAAAATATTTTTAAGCTTTTAAAAATCCTGTTGTCTTTTCATTCAAAACAAACCCCTGTCGATAACTTCTTTTCATGTCCAAACACGTGTATTTACCTGACTAGCATTGTGCAAGTGTGAATTGTAATTAATTGTTGATTATATTTCCCCATTAATTCTGATAAGTTTTCATTTTAATTACCTTTGAGGCAATTTTTGGCAACTTTCGTCCCATTCAATCAGCACAAAAAATTTTCAAAAACATCCTACCTACCGACCCTATTTAATCGGAAGCAGAGATTTTTTTTCTTGGCCTAACTAATGTGCTTCTCGGTGTATTATTTCTCATGCAATGATTTCTCATGTCACAGTTACATGTACATGCGTTGCAAAACAAGTAAGCTTCTCCACGACAAGACTTTGCAATAAAGGCCCATTTTTGTGGTGTATTCGTCTCTTAACTTCAGCTCACTTGTTGCCATTGTGCACAACAAGTCAATTTGCTCACCAAACATCCAAAAATCAAATCCTCGACAGTCCTCCACTCCATTCAACTTTAGCACAATCATGATGGTCAACACACGTGTATACAATATTGGTACCGGTACACTGTACATGTACAATGCATGGACGTACGTACACGATCACATTGCATATATCAAGTGTGATACGCCTATTCGCCGACTGTTTGTCATACTGTTTATTGGGGCGAACGGATGATTCAACCACACTGGTTTCTACCACTACTCACACAGCTTGTGTGCACAAACTGCGGGGTGCCAGTGACACATTTCTGACGCGCATATTATGAGGCCGGCTGCATGCTAGCTTATGTACCGGTAGAGTTTATACACTACTGTATGGTTTTCTACATGTACCTTCGAGTTGGAATCTGTAAAGATCTTACATATAGTCTGGATCGTACAGTCTTAAACAGACTACACAAATCATAAAAATTAGGCCTAAGTCGTACAAGTTACATGTAGCATCTCTGCAATTACAGGAGGACCCATCTGAGCCGATGTGAATTGATAAGCACTCACCCGAATATATAAATAAAGGCATATTTACTCGTCAAATGATTTCAGAATACAAACATTAACACAATTTTTTCAAATGCCTTACTGTACCCCTGGTACATTCCCTATCCTCAGCAGTCTCTGTGGGTGTTTTCAGAATTCGAGATCCTGGTATCAAACGCCAGTATCATGCACAGACCGCTGACACTCCAAAAAGCTTCGAGGAGAAATTGGTTCCAAAGGGAAACCACTAGGTTTTCAAAATCATTCGTTTTTATTTGACATCTGCAAAGATTGTTGGAACTTTTCGATTGAGAGCGTTCTAGATCCTTTTTTTGAAACTGTTAGCAGGTGACTCACAACATCCTGTGCATCTAGATCACATCCCAGATGAACACACAACTTGACTGCTTCTGCCTGGCCATAGTTTGCTGCGTAGTGGAGTGCCGTCCGCCCATACTGACAAGAAAACAACCATCCGTTTATTGAACCGATACAATGTACATGTAACAACACTTGAACAGGTACACAATGACAGTAAAGCTCCAAGAAATAAAATGTGCAAAATGCTTACTCAAGCCTATCCCAGTGATACAAAACTTGTTAACGCATATCTTCTATAATTTCCTTCAAACAGATTCCTCTCAAAACTAAGTTTTCTGCCACTTTTTTATTTCCCAAAATTTTCACAACAATTATGGGAGCATAATTCAAACCCCATCCCTAAGTGTTATGGTCAAGTCCCTGCAAGTCCATCACCTGACTTCGGTGGGTTTTACCCAGAATATTCTTCTGGGGTTTTCCCCCACCGCTACAACTGTAACTTCTTCTGTCTCCTCTCGAGAGATTTCTTCAGGCTTGTGAGCTACAGTGGCTGGGGCACTTTTGAGGAATGCTTGGTTTCATTACGAAAGACTTACATAAATAAATCACAAGTCATCCAGCATTAAGCCAAATCACTTGCCATTCAAATGAGTATTCAAAAAGAGTATTTCTTAGTCATTGCACATTCTGTTGTGATCTGGTCTTGTGAAAAGACTTGTGGAGTGATTTGGGAAAAGGCACATGATGGACTTGATTGCTACGTACATGTATATCTAGCAATACACAGCCATACTGACGACTTTCCATATCTCAAGTCACAACACAATTTTGCAATAGACATGGGAAGGGGGGAAAATGGGCATGGATGCCTCACAGGCTACCAACAAACCTTGTCTGCTGTGAATCCGGCTCCTGATTGGGCCAGCTCTCGGATGTAACTCACTTCACCTTTGCTGGCAGCCAATCGTAACCTTTCTGACAGTTGAGCCGTCTGCTGCGCCATGCCCTACGCCATGTCTCATCAGTAGCCAAGTAACTCTCTTCTACATTGTTGCCAAAGCTGTTGCACAGTAACTTGTCAACATCAACATGTACCTGCAATTTATCAAGACATAAACTTAGAATGAGTACATTTTCTTTTCTTTGCATTACTGTCCTCGAATTTTGGTGGGGGAAATTTCCATACACTAACAGTTTTGGGAACGCACAGATACATGTAAATTGCTCTGGGAAAAAACGTTAAGGACTTAAATGCAAGACCTATTTTTACTTTTACATGAAATCATCTTGTAGTAAAGTTCTGTATAAATTAATTATTGATTTGCAGTGCGTTCAACAACCCATGCTACATGTACATGTATACATGTATGTACATGTACATGTGTACAGATATACATGTATTTTCCATTAATCCACACTTTTTAGGAGAAATGAAAGGGTATTTGGTGGACCATCAACCATATACGGTACATGTACATGTACATGTGCATGTACCGGTACTGGTATGTACATGTACATGTACATGTATGCTTGTCCCATGGTGTCTGAGACCCAAAAAAGAGTTTCCAAAGCTACATTTGTACATTATGACCATCAGTATGCTTGTCCATGTACGGTACATGTACATACTGTACATATATACAAGTACATGCACATGTGCATACATGTATGTACAGTATTGTACACATGTACCGGTACCATAGTAAATGTAGGTGAAAACAACAAAAAGCTGCCTGCAGTCTGCCATTGTTGGCTACATGTACAGTACAGTACCGGTACACTTGAGTTCCTTTACACAACCTGTCAAATTGATTGAGAGTGACTGAACCATCCACTTCATCAACCTCCTTCTCCACCCTCTTTGTCTCCCCATTGATCTCCTTTATCCACCTCCCACCACCANGTGGTGCAATTGTACCTCATGTACACCGGGGTTGTAGAGGTGGCAAACATGCTCGGGAAATAAATTGTCATACAGCTAATGATTCCAACCACAGTCCTATTGACATCGCATCTATGAAACTGGGTCTGATTAACTGCCAATCAGGGGAGATCACCTCACAGGCTACCAACAAACCTTGTCTGCTGTGAATCCGGCTCCTGATTGGACCAGCTCTCGGATGTAACTCACTTCACCTTTGCTGGCAGCCAATCGTAACCTTTCTGACAGTTGAGCCGTCTGCTGCGCCATGCCCTACGCCATGTCTCATCAGTAGCCAAGTAACTCTCCTCTACATTGTTGCCAACGCTGTTGCACGGTAACTTGTCAACATCAACATGTACCTGCGATTTATCAAGACATAAACTTAGAATGAGTACATTTTCTTTTCTTTGCATTTCTGTCCTCGAATTTTGGTGGGGGAAATTTACATACACTAACAGTTTTGGGAACGCACAGATAAATTGCCTAGGGAAAAACCTTAACGACTTAAATGCAAGACCTCTTTTTGCTTTTACATGCACATGAAATCATCTGGTATTAAAGTTCTATATAAATTAATTATTGATTTGCAGTGCATTCAACAACCCAAGCTACTTTGTACATGTATTTCGGCCACTCACCTTCACTATTATGCACAAACATACATGTACATGTACATGTATTGAAGCGTAGCAGAGTGCTCGGGGTTAAGAACCAATACCAGTACATGTATACAGACATATTTTCCCTTAATCGACACATTTTAGGAGAAATGAAAGGATGTTTGGTAGACCCTCAACCATATATGTACATGTATTCTTGTCCCACAGTGGCTGAGACCCCAAAAAGAGTTTTCAAAGCTACATTTGTACATTATGGCCATCAGTATGCCCGTCCATCACATGTACATGTGCATGTATGTACAGTATTGTACACATGTACCGGTACCATAGTAAATGTAGGTGAAAACAACAAAAAACTGCCTGCAGTCTGCCATTGTTGGCTACATGTACAGTACAGTACCGGTACACTTGAGTTCCTTTACACAACCTGTCAAATTGATTGAGAGTGACTGAACCATCCACTTCATCAACCTCCTTCTCCACCCTCTTTGTCTCCCCATTGATCTCCTTTATCCACCTCCCACCACCCGTTATTGATGCTGTGTCCAGTGGGCTTGCACGTCAAAAGGACGACGCAACCCCTTGCCCCACAAATCCTGTGTCAGTGTCCAAACAATTCTTTGTCGGCAGACAATTTGTCAATGAACACATACCGTGTGCCAGCCGGTACACACGCTAAATAAAGCTTACTTGCTTCACAGAAAATGGGACCTGCACAGTGATACTCGCAAACTGAAAGTGGCTAATGGAAAATGTTTTAGAAATCGCCACTTGTACAATTTCATATTTTCCTATGGGTACAAAAACTATACTAGGCAAGATATGGGACGGAGGGGTACCCCCCTTACCTGTCCAATCCCTACACACACTCTGGACTATTGTTACCTAACACATCCCCCCTAGAAGTCTGTAAAGAATTCCTGAGATTCCGATCAAACAAAGACCAACCAAGGCGAGGGGGGTTCTCTCCGACCCATATCTTGCTTCAAATGACAAAAACAAGTACTGGGTACACTGTACATGTACATTATCAATTGTGCAAGCCTATTTTTGTTATTTTGCTCATGCAGATTCACCCAAAAGTCCTATACACAGGACCTTTGTTAGCAGAAATGCCAGTTCCAAAAAGGTAAACAGGGACTTTATTGTGCAATCTTAAATGAATGGTTTAATGGCAACTGGTCCAGGTCATTAAGCATTCCATTTAGGCAATTTCAGACCAACAGAGGTTGCTGGCTTTTGGTTCAATGGGTGCCCTGCTGCATGTGTACTAGGAAGTTTCTTTCACTTTCACAGTAAATATTTTGAACATACTGTACATGTACAGTACACGTATTCATACGTTATTGTACATGTAGATCATTTTCAACATGTCAAAAGGGATTTTCTACATTGTAAAAACAAAAAGAAATACTACTTTAAAGCATTCCTCATCTTAAACTTGAAAAAGGACATTATACACACATACTAGAAAAAGCTGCAATGTAATGTAGGGAGTACAGTTATGTACATGAACAGGTCTGCATGTTAACAATACCATACAGTATGTCCCACAGAAATGTACATGTACACTATACAATACATGCAAACAAGCTTCTTTTTGCAAATTCAGTCAGTTTACTGAACCATAAACTGTACTTTCTGGGGTATCCAATTAAAAACTGAAAATGAAACTGACACTTATCAATGAAGGAAAACCTACTCGCAAGCGGGCAAAGAAAAAAAGTACTGTATGGTGTCATGTAATGGCACGCACTGATCTGCAAATGACTACCAATACTGTTGTTAGTTGTATGTTTCAAGAAGAAACAGCCACACCACAGTACTATTACCTTAGCAAAATCCCCCATTTTTTCCATCCACTTGGCCATGCTGATTGATTGGCTAAAGTGAGAAAACTCTATAAAAAGGCAGCTTGGGCAATTTACATGTACCGGTATCCTACCCTACAATGTTTTCTCAGGACTAATACAAATACATGTACAAGTTTACATGTACACATGTACCGGTACACTAGAGTACTTTATCGATCACCACCATAACTTTTACATCAATTTTATAAAAATACAAAGATGGTTATGTACATGTAAATCTCAGAAAACCAAAAGTATTAACGGTGTTTCAATGACTAAACAGATTAAAATGCTTTGTCTATTTAGTTTAAAACTTACCAGACACATTAAACATGGATGTCTCGTTCTTCACACCAAGTTTTAATCTGACATCTGCCAATACATGTACATGACTTACATGTAATCTGTGATAAAATCATTTGCCAAGAAGGTACAATACCTCAACCACTGTTTTGCACAACTGTTCCTCACTGACCATACACTCTGCTCTCTGCCAGCAATTCTCAGAAAAATTGGTGTTAAGTGTCCTGCCAAGAGCACTTGAGGTTTGAGATGTGAAATGACTAATATAATTCCAGGAATGAACCCCATGAGGTCAAAATGGAAAACAAACTCCTCATCAGAGGTTCAATATAAATTTATACATGTACTGGTACATAACATGCATCCAATTTATGAGCACCATACATCTTGGGAAGTCAGAGGGACCCAACTGCAAAATGAATCCACATGAATCACAGATGCCAATAAAGCAAAAAAAAATGACTGGAGCAATCCATGTACTCTCGGGAACCAAAACCTCCACTGAACCACAAAGGCATGTATCTCCAGCAAGTAACTGAACCATCTCATGACAGTTGGAAACTACATGTTCAAAAAAGCTCTTACTTATACATGTACACTGTACCACACTAGTCTGTCACTACATGTGCGGGAACATGTCTCCCAAGAGTCTTCAATGTGGTATCACTTTCAGTGTTTGACAGTGACGCACAATGCAAAAATATACACAGGTGCATTTTGGGTAAATTGCAAACTGGGCTGGTTTTTTTCTCTCTCCAAACAATGAGTGACACAGACATCTGACATTCAAGCACGGGTAATCTGAACAGATTTATTGGCCAGCTACATGTACATGTACATTTTTCCCCTGGGCTTGTGATTCAAAATTACAGTGTAATTTCTCATTTTACCGAGGGTAAGAAAGTTCGGCCAGAGTTTACAAACACCCATGCTAGTACATACCGGTGTGTTCTGGTACATGTATGTACAGTAAGTACTTGCTTGCTTGCTTATATTTCTGACACTGTTCAAACATCTCTTGCTTCTCTTCCACAGTTCTAAATGGTTCGTGCCGCAACTGCAGCACTGGTGCCATGCTACAAAACAGTCACAAGCACAGTATACACAAAACATGTCTACAAGTCACTTTTGCAAAGATTTGTGTCTGCACTTGAATTTGGAGAAATAACCAATGACTGGAGGGATGATTTCTGGAGACCCTGGCACTATAGAGGTCTGTACAGAGAGTCCACTATCGAGACTCCCAAACCAATTAACATACCAAATGGAGTGGGATGTGAACAGGGGTCAGAGTCAATAGAGGCAGGGTGAGAAAGTGCACACTGAGATCTTCAGAATCCATTTCTCTTGCACACCATGGGGGAACTATAGACAAACTCACCAATGCAATTATCCCCCTAACGGTGCTATCAAATGACAAAAAAAGTCCCTCTCTTGTCTGAAGTAAAGTCCCTAATGTAACTTACAAGGGGGACATGTAACTCTAGACAAGATAAATTTTCCTTGCCCCAACCCGAAAACATTAATTGGGGCACCTAACAGACAAACTTTTGACACACTCTCCCAACACTGTTCTCCCCAATGAGAACTAAATTTGTCCGCACAGAGAGAAAAAATGAGCAGGTGTACAGAAAAGCCACTATGTACCGGTACATGTACATTGTACATACCAGGTACATGTACCACCAGGGCTGTTCACTGAGGAAAGATTCAGACAATGAGCAAAGGCCTTCAAGTTCAAGCCTGCGCAGGTAACAAATGCCAAAAGGATTCCACTGTGATTATCTATTGTATTCTTGACCAACTTTACAAAGGGAAGGAAATCAGTATCAGGCTTTCAAGCATAAAATACATGTACATTATGTATGGATTTACCAGTACAACACTGTGTGACATGTTCAACGTACATGTACCAGTATGTTAGCAAACATGTACCTGTAAGTACATCTACCGCGACTGTACATAAAACCTGTACATGGACAGGTCTAGTTTCTACAATCCAAGTAAACTTTTGCAGGGATTTCTTTTCAGGCAACAATGCGCAGAATGTGGAATGTACCGTTATGAATACCGTATGGTGAGGTACCGACACAGACACAATGTACACCAACACGCTCATAAACTGTTCATGAATGTCTCAGTACATGTGGCAGATGGACATGCATTTACCGTATGTGTTTATAAATTAAAACATGAGTCTGCATGTGTGTACAGTGTACATGTACCCTACAGTATACAAGTGGTACAAAGAATATGGTATGATTCACTAACAGGCTTAACACCGATACAGTTGATGTAGCAGCACCCGGTACATGTACAATGTACATGTACTGTATGCATGCAATACCGGTATGTACATGCAAGTTACATGTATGATGTACGTGTGCATGTGTGAGCATGTACATAAAGTGCACAGTGACCATGACCGCTGCTCATGGCACTATCATAATCCCTTCTCAACAGACCCATAAATACTGTATTAAAACCACTTTAGTTGCCAGGGGAGTATGCTCCCTATGCTGCCCTTTCATGTGCAAACGGGCTAATGAAACATGCATCTCCGTCCAGTCACAGGTGCCCATATACACTACCCTGTCCTAACTTCAATTGACACACCCTGGGCTTTTAGGTATACTGTACCGGTACATGTACAAACATGTACCTGTACACTGTACATACATACATGTACATGTAAATGTAGGTCCAGCACTCATTTTCAGTCCAAGTTTTTTTAATACATGTACATGTTCCAGTATTAATCAATGCCTTTAAACAGAATACTCCCATCAAAAGCAAATAATAGCAGGGCTGGCTTCCTTAAAGACACAGAATTTACAATACTATTACTAAACACTGCACAAGTGCTGGTATACATGTAAATTATGTACATGTATACATACATGTACGTGAACATTGTACATGTACATGTACATCATGTGTCAATTCATGTACCAGTACACATACATGTACATGTAATTAAACTGTAGGCCTACACTTTTAAGCTGTGATGAGGCAACCGAGCATCAAAACACAAAGTGTTTTAACAAAGTTTTCATCCCTTTCAACTGATTTTTTCACAATTACTAATATTTCAAACCAGAACTAAAAACTAACACCCTTCCCCCTAAACTGTGGGATCCACCACGGGAGGGGCGGATGTCAGACCCACAGTTCTGGGGGTAAACTAAAACCACACTCCTTGAAAATTTTACTAAAGTGAAGAACTACCGACCCTAAAGTGATGTTGTACATTTTCATGTACCAGGAATGCATTTTCAGTGTGGTCCTGTCTAACATAGTAACAAATCCTGAAAATTTCAATGTGCAGCCAGCCCCCTGGATGCCATTTTTCACAGGTTGTAAAACCAACCGGTTTTCCCTCCCTTATTTTCAGCTCTAATAAATAAAATGTACAAGTACAGACCTGTGTGGTGAAGCATTGATGTACATCTCCATTGTGCAACTTAATTGCATTGGCGAGGCTTAGTCAGGGAAAAACCATGTGGTCTTGTGGTGAACCACTCAATGGTTTGGGCCAACAGGTCAGGCACATTTATGCCAAGTGGGAAATCTTTGAAAAATATCTTGCCGACCTCCAGGTCAAAATCTGGTGACACCCCCACTGGCTCCTGTCTGTCATTATTCCATTATATGGTAGGCTGGGTAAACATAAGGCTAGGCAATTCCCATGGGGCAGCAGGAGGTGCAGAGAGGAATGGTGAAGAATGTCCTGACTTCACAGACTTAGCAAGACTACAAATTGAATTCCACTTGGGTGAGGCAGGAGTCCAAAACTACCTGTATCTCGCAGAAGTTGCCAAAAAAGGAGTCTCCAAGAGACTGGCAGGAAATATTGCATCACACTGCAGTGAAAAGTCGACTTTTAACTTACCTTTCTTCTCCTTGGTGACATCACTCATTTTTCTTGAAATGTGAACACTACTGTATTTTTTAGCTATTCCTCTTCCTGTACATACATGTGTACATACAACATCTACATGTACCTGTATCTACATGTACGGTACATGTACCTGTATGTACATGTATACATCCTGCCGGTAGGCTGTAATTTTTCTCAGGTCCATAAATAGATGGCACGGCTGGCACACATAAACATGTTTCACTGACGGAATCAGTGACATTAATCTCCTAAAAAACTAAGAACTAACCTGATCTGAAATATATCCCAAGGGCAAATAACGAATCTCATCCACCCAGACCCAACATCGGGTACATCAAACTATGGAGCTCCATGATCAAACTGTGGTTCTGAATTACACACAGTGAACTGAGAATCAGAGACTGTCCGTCCTACCAGATGTAGAAAATACCACACACAATGTCCCAGTGGGCAACAGTAGGGGCCTACATGTACAGCTTGCCAAGTTTTTGAATATT